CCAGCACTTTGGGAGGCCGAGGCAGATGGATCATGAGGTCAGGAGTTCAAGACCACTCTAGCCAAGATGGTGAACCCCCGTCTCTACTAAAAATACAAAAATTAGCTGGGCGTGGTGACGGGTGCCTGTAATCCCAGCTACTTGGGAGGCTGAGGCAGAGAACTTCTTGAACCCGGGAGGCGGAGGTTGCAGTGAGCCAAGATCATGCCATTGCACTCCAGCCTGGGCAACAGAGCAAGACTCCGTCTCCAAAAAAAAAAAAAAAGTGCCTGAGCTGTACTCCAGAAGTACCAAATTGGAATTTCTGGAGAGCTTGGAAATACGTATTAACAAATTCCCTAAGTGATGTGGGTATACAGCACCAATTTATACACTACTCCCATTTGTCAAACAGATTTTTACAAATTATGACACACAATTAAAATTTCCCAAGCTGCTGCAGCCTACCTCAATCATCTAAAAAGAATTCCAATCCATCAATGGGAATGGACAAGCTGTGTTGAGAAAGATTTAAGACAAAGACAATTTTTATCTTTAGGTGAAGTTCAGGTCCCAGAAACCTATCACACTGTCAGCTCTATCCCATGCAAATAGCAAAAGATCTGAGAAAGCAATTTCTTGTTCTCTAGGCAATATAACCAAACAGATGAGTGTTACTCACATAGTTCTTGACTTCTCGTCGAGCATTAGCATCAATAGCAAGCCACCTCTGCTGATATTGTGCCTTGATATCTGGATCTTTAGATGTCAAAGAGTTCTTGATTTGTAGACCAGCTGCAACTCTGGCAACCTGACTATTTCCTGGATTTGCCAGCACTCTGGACAGTTCCACAAGGAAAGTGGGCTGTTAAGGGAAGATAAATTTGTAAATAAAATTATCTTAGGAATTTCCACAACTGAGATTATTTATGGAGCACTGAACCACCGAAGGAGGGGCGAGGTGGGGGGGGGAACTAATGTCTAATTTTTTTTTGGTATATCATAAGCATCTCAGGAAACCACAAAATACCTACTACAAGACTTCTATAAAAATGTTACTTAGTATATAACAGGAAGTCTTCCACTTTTCTCATGGAGCCTAGCACTTAATGAGGAATTGCAGATTTTCCTATCAAAATCATTCCTAGTACCTAAATAGTCACATTATACCCCCTGAAATTGCAAGGTTTTAGAGTATGGTAGTAGTTAGTCTTCTGTGCATACTGAGGTGTCCCAAGAATTCTTAATAATGTCTGGTACTTGAATGAATGGCTGTTACGATGCGGGTAGAAAATAAAACTGTTTATCTAAATTTCAAAAACCTTGGCCCCAAAAGAATGATCCAACTTTCCATCTCATGGCAGCAGCAGGGTAGCTTTTCATCCCATGGAAGGAGGTGATCTTTTATGAGAGAGGGAAATACAGATAAGCCTAAACAAACTTAGGAGCCTCATCCTCCGTTTTATTTGTGGGCACTCAGCAAAAAGGGAACAACGAAAAAAGCGGATTTATAAGGAAAAGTGGTAAGATATTTAGAAATAGGGAAAAAGTGAAAGAAAAAAATGTTCAGGCAAGCTATTCAAAAAAAATAACTTTGTATCTAATAATCAACAATTACTTGCTCCTATACATTTGGACTTTAGTTGAGGAATACAGTGGATCCCTGAAAAGCATGTTCTTTTGTAATCTTTTGTAATCCACAGGCCTCAAAAACTACTCCCTTTGTTTAAAAATTTAACACACACACCTCTCTCTCCAGCAAAAAAACCGTGCCCAAACAGCAAAGTTAGCAGGAAAAGCCAAAAGCAGATACATTTTTCTTACTGCTAACAAGTTCTGCAATCACAGCAGAATATAATTCTTAAAAGTTTTATTAATTATGTACCACTAAAGAATGTTAAGAATGTTAGGAATAAGATAAAAAGCTTCTTGCAAAATTAGCAAAAGCAGAAACAGGAATAATACCCTAAATGGAATTATCAGCCTATACTAGTGGAAAAATCTCTTCTAGGAAAGGATAAACAGGTTAGTTGTAAAAATTGGCACATATGAAGAACAAAAAAAAATCATTCAAAGGCAGTCTGTATAAAATAAGCCTTGTCACTTTGTTGATGTTGACATTTTGCCTATATAACACAAAGAAACACATATGGTTACAATGTTATTCAGACTTATTTCCTATTACCTTTCTCAAAGATGGCAAGCATCATCCAATCCTTCCCTCTGACCCCATCTCTCAATAGGAGATGGACACCAAAGAGAAACTTAACTGGCATCTAGGCTGTTTCAACCAATCCATCCCACATTTTTATACAAAGGACCAGTCTCTAGCGGACTTAGCTTCATTTTCTCCGGACCCCTTAAATTTTAAAATATGAAAAACGAGTAACTTTCCTCTGTGATTTCATCAGGAAACAGGCCCGATCTCAAAGATGAGCCTCAGACTGTTGTCTGGGTGCAGATCCCTAGTGATTAGGTTTCTATTCATCCAGGTCAGAAGGAAAGGAAAAAAAAAAAAAAAGGAAGAAAAAGAAAATACCCCGAGAGGAATAAACGGGCAGAAGAGGGAAAAATATTAGTGGAAATGGGTTAAGAGACAGTCGGGTGCCAGGCCTGGCCAGGAGCACAGACCAAGGTAGCGAGGAAAGGGCAGAGCTCTAGGAAATAGGTGGGGAGAGCCACAGGGGCCACGGGACAGGAAGGATAAGCCGGCCGGGGTCAGACAGGGAGGGCAACCGGGCCCAGAGCTTCCACATGGCCCCTAGGCCTGACTCCCCCACCCCCACCTCTGCTGAACACGCAGCGCCGCGCAACCTAACTTCCCTTCCCTCCCTCTTTCTCCCTCCCGCTGCACCGCCGCCCTCAGGCCGCGCAATGATTGGGCGACAGGCAGCCCGGCGCGCCGCGCCATTGGCCAGTCGCAGGGCCCGGGGCGGGACACACCCACCGGCTTCCCGATGGCGGGGTTAGGTTGGACCGGGTTGGGGGGGAGGGGGACGGGATGGGGCGGGGTAGGTTCCCGAGGCCTGGGCCTCCCGGAGGGCGGGAAGGCCCCGCACGCAGGGGATGGGGACGCGGCGGGATGGGCGCGGCGGGGTAGCACGCACCAGGTTCTCCACGGCCGCACGCTCCAGGAACTTCTGCGCCGCTTCCAGCTCCAGCCGATCTGGGGGGAGGAAAGTGGGAGACGGAGCGGGGTCAGAGGGGCCGGGCCTCCCCTCCCCCACCCCAATCACCTCAGCCCGACCCCCGGCTCCTGCGTCCTACCGGGAGACACGGTCTTCTCAAGGATGGTGATCAGCTCCATGGCGGAGGTGGCGGCGGCGGCGACTCCTCCTAAGACGACGGCCCGGCCTTTCGGGCGGCGGCTCGAACTGGGGATGGGGGTTGGGGGTCGGGTGGGAAGGGAGGGTGGGGTGGGGGGCGGGGGTCACCACAAGCCCATTCACCGGCTCTTTCTGGGTAGTCGCTCCAGCTCCCCTTAGTCTCTTCTTCTCTTACTTCCTCCCTCCGAATGTGCTGCTGGCAGCGGGGGAGGGACCCCGGGGGCAGCTCAGAGCGCGCTGGTGCTCGGGAGGCGGAGGGAGAAAGAAGGAAGAGAAGCTGTGAGTGAGAGGCGGCGCGCAGGGAGGGAGCGAGGGCGGGAGGAAGGCGGAGGGATATTCGGGCCGGACCTCGCCGCGGCGGCGCCGCGCTCCACGGCGATTGGCCGCTGTTCTGGCCACGCGGAATCCCCAATTGGCCAGGCGCTCAGCGTCGAAAGGCCGCCTTTCGCCCATTCGCCTGCTGGTTTCAAGGCCCGGGGTGGCTGGGCGGGCAGGGGAATGGAGCGCCCTAATTGGCCGAGGGGAGGGAGATTGGGATGGGGCCGGAGAGAGCCCACCGCTGATTGGGTGGGCTTGGTAAAGGCCTTGAGCTCAGACCGGCTGAGCACCGAGGAGGGTGGACCGAAGGCACGACTCGGAGCCTGCGCGATTGGCTGGGATAGTGGGCGTTGATAGGATAGGGTGCCTGGGAGAACTGGGGAGAGGAGTTCGGGGTCGGGGCGCGGGAAGGCGGGAGGCGCCCGGCTGCCCTAGGAGCCCGGCGCGGGGCACGATGGGACGCCCCCGGGAAGAGGCGGAGCTGGGTTCGACCGCTGGGGCTGCGGTTGGGTAAGCGCCGTCGCTCCGAGGGGCGTGTTGAGCGAGGCTTTCGCGGGCGTGAGCGGGGGATGGGGGGACCGTTGAAGTCCTGCGCCGCGCCCGCAGGAAGCTGCTTTAATGGCTAGGTCGGCTTGGTACCCTGCTTTTGGCTGGGACGGATCCGTAAGGCCATGTGGCTCCACTTGAAATGTGTAGATGTGGAAACTGAAGCCCAGAGAGGGTATGGAACTTGCCCAAAGTCACACAGCCGGTTAGTGGCTTGGTAAGGAATGGGTTCAGGAGCCTAGAGGGTATGGAACTTGTCCAAGGTCGTACAGCTGGTTAGTGGCTTGATAAGCTCAAGCTCTCCTGACTGCCGTTGCCCCTACAAGCAGCTTTCTCTCCAAGGAGTCCCCTAGGCCTGCTTATATAGGGCTTGAGACCTGTACTAAGTCTGACTTGCTTAGGGGTGAGCTAAGGGAATCCTACACTTAGACACCCCATCCTTGACAGAATGGAAATGCTTCACCCTGTAAAAGCTCAACCTTGAACCAGAAAGAATGTGTGTACAGGCATAAAGGATCGTGGTTCTTGACCTGTTTTCGTTCTGAACTCTTGAAGAAACTCATGAATGCCTTTTCTTAGCAAAATGCATATAAAGAAAATGTGGGCCGGGTGCGGTGGCTGATGCCTGTAATCCCAGCACTTTGGGAGGCCGAGCGGGGCGGATCACGAGTCAAGAGATGGAGACCATCCTGGCCAACATGGTGAAACCCCGTCTCTACTAAACTACAAAAAAATAGCCCGGCGTGGTGGCGCATGCCTGTAGTCCCAGCTACTCCTGAGGCTGAGGCAGGACAATCTCTTGAACCCTGGAGGCAGAGGTTGCAGTGAGCCGATATCGCGCCACTGCAGTCCAGCCTGGCAACAGAGCGAGACTCCGGCTCAAAGAAAAGAAAAAAATGTGCATACAGTATCTTTCTTTGACATTGGTAAGTGGGCTGTAGGTTAAGAATTTCCTAGGCTGGGAGCAGTGGCACAGACCTGTAATCCCAGGACTTTGGGAGGATCGCTTGAGCCCAGGAGTTCAAGACTAAGCTGGACAACGTAGCGAGATCCTGTCTTTTAAAAAACAAAGATTTTTAAAATGATAAAGGAAAAGTGTAATAATGGGGACGGGCGCAGTTGCTCATGCCTGTAATCCCAGCACTTTGGGAGGCCGGACTTGAGGTCAGGAGTTCGAGACCAGTCTGGCCAACACGGTGAAACCCTGTCTCTACTAAAAAATACAAAAAAAAAAACAAAACAAAACAAAAAAAAACTGGCCGAGCATGGTGGCGCATGCCTGTAATCCCAGCTCTTTGGGAGGCTGAGATGGGAGAATCTCTGGAACCCGGGAGGTGGAGGTTGCAGTGAGCCGAGACTTCACTACTGCACTCCAGCCTGGGTGACAGTAAGACTCTCAAAAAAAATAAAAAATAAATGGGAACAAAGAATTTCTTGAATTGTTTCGTTTTCACAGTACTGGTGTAGGGGTAATTTGATGTAGCAGTTCATAGAGCTCTTTAACATATGACTTGAGCTTGTGAGGTAATTGCCCTGCACTAGCCACACTGGGAAAACCTAGGAGGAAGTCTGACTTTGCTGAAGGGTTTCACAAAGAATTGGGAAAGCTTGGCGAACTCTTTGTTAAGAGAGGAAGAAATGGTCTTTCTCTGCTAGAGATATCTTTGCAGTTTTGAAGCTAAAAATGTAGGGACACCGTTCCTCATACCATACTGTGACTAGTGGATTTCCCATGGCTTAGCAGTTCCCTAACCCCAGCCTTTTGCTTCATCTATTAACTGTGGAAGAACTGCCCTGTGTAACTTTGTTATAAATCAGTGAAGATTGGGCGGGGCGTGGTGGGTCACGCCTGTAATCCCAGCACTTTGGGAGGCTGAGGTGGGCAGATCACCTGAGGTCAGGAGTTAGAGACCAGCTTGGCCAACACGGTGAAACCCTGTCTCTACTAAAATACAAAATTAGCCGGGCGTGGTGGTGGGCACCTGTAATCAATCCCAGCTACTCAGTAGGCTGAGGCAGGAGAATTGCTTGAACCCGTGAGGCAGAGGTTGTAGTGAGCCAAGATTGCATCACTGCACTCCAGCCTGGGTGACAGAGCAAGACTCCATCTCAAAAAAAAAAAAACAAAACAAAACACTGCATTCCCACCTGGATGCCAGGGCAAGACTCTATCTCAAAAAAAAAAAAAAAAAAAAAAGAAATCAATGAAGATTTGCCATGCATGGTGGCTCACCCTGTAATCATAGTACTTTGGGAGGCTGAGGCTGGAGGATCACTTGAGCCCAGGAGTTTGAGGCCAGCCTGGCCAACATGGTGAAACCCTGTCTGTACTAAAAATACAAAAATTAGCCGGGTGTGGTGGCGGGAGCCTGTAATCCTAGCTACTCGGGAGGCTGAGGCAGGAGAATCACTTGAACCCAGAAGTCAGAGGTTGCAGTGAGCCAAGATTGTGCCACTGCACTCCAGCCTGGGCGACAGTGAGACTGCCCCTCCTCCCCCCTGCAAAAAAGTCAATGAAGATTAAGTAAGATGACATGAAAATCCTGGAATTGTCCTTACGTGAGTTACCTACACTACAAATTATCCATAATTTGTTTCACTCAGGCTAACTTTCCCCTGCTCTCCAGCAGTTTGCTGGGCTACCTCTGTCTCAGCATCAGTCATGATGATACCAGTGAGGGCAAATGGATTTTTGAGACAGAGTCTCGCTCTGTCACACGGGCTGGAGTGCAGTGGCGCCGTCTCGGCTCACTGCAACCTCCGCCTCCTGGGTTCAAGCAATTCTCCTTTGCCCTTAGAATATAGACAAAACCACTTGCATGTCAGGTAAAGTCTTGTATGGTCTTGCCTCCACTCAACACCAGCTTAACTCAATCCCTTGTTCTCCCAAGTAGCTGGGATTACAGGTGCCCACCACCACATCCAGCTAATTTTTTTTTTGTATTTCAGATGGGGTTTCACCACGTTGGCCAGGCTGACTTCAAACTCCTAACTTCAAGTGATCCACCCGCCTCGGCCTCCCAAAGTGCTGGGATTACAGGTGTGAGTCACCGCGCCCAACCTATACAATTTTGAAAAAGGCAGGCATGGTGGCATGTACTTCAGGAGGGTGAGGCAGGAGGGTTACTTGAGGTCAGGAGTTCAAGGCTTCAGTGACCTATGATCCTGCACTCCAGCCTGGGTGACAGCTGGACCCTGTGGCTGAAGTAAAATGCTGAGAAAATGAAAGTTTTGCAGCAAAGTTCCAATCGAACATAAAATCCTTACCAAAATCAAAATGAACTGACTTTAGTTGAACTAAAGTTACTGATGATGCTGTTTAGTTCCCATCAAAAGTACATTCAATAAATGCTGGTGAGGTACTGGAGCTTGAGTGATGAGCACAGACTCCAGAAATTGAGTGCCTGAGTTCCTATCCCAGCTCTTCCACTTCTTAGTTTGTGAGTTAACTTTCCTCAATGTAAAATGGGACTATTAATTGTCCTTACTATGTAGGGACAAATGGGGAGGTCCTAAGTGAGTTAAGACCTGGTGAATGGGCTGAGTGCAGTGGCTCATGCCTATAATCACAGTGCTTTGGGAGGCTGAGGCTGGAGGATCACTTGAGCCCAGGAGTTTGAGGCCAGCCTGGCCAACATGGTGAAACCTCATCTGTACTTAATACAAAAATTAGCTGGGCCTGGTGGCAAGAGCCCATAATCCCAGCTACTTGGGAGGCTGAGGCAGGAGAATCACTTGAACCCAGGAGGTGGAGATTGCAGCAAGCCGAGATCACACCACTGCACTCCAGACTGGGTAACGCAGCTCAAAAAAAAAAAAAAAGAAAAATATGGCAGCTTTAATTTTAATTTTTTAAAAAGAAAAAATAAAAGACTTGGTGAATGCCAGTTTAGCATGGCTATTATCTACTTACCATGTATTTTATGCTAAGTGAGTGGTCCTTGGTCTGTTAGGGAAGATAGACTTTAATCATTTTATCTCTCAAACATGTAAAGTTGTAAAAGTGACATATGGCAAGGAAGGTTCCAGTCAGGGAGTTCAGGGAAAGCTTAGCTGAGGAAGGGAAGAGAGTCACTCAGGTGAAGAAGAGAGGAATAGTGTGTATGGAGGCTCTGTGGTGGGAAGGAGCTTGGGGATTACAACTGCAAGAATGCCAGTGTCCCCAAAACAGAGAACAAGGGATTGAGTTGAGCTAGTGTTGAGTGGAAGCAAGACCACAAGACCTTCCCTGCCATGCAAGTGGTTTTGTCTATATCCTAAGAGCAAAGGGGAGCTATTGAAAGGTTTTAAGAAGGATGGTCATTACAATGTAGAGATTGGATGGGAAGGGGAAAGAGTAGATGCAGGGAGACCAGTTAGGAGGCCATTGCAGTAATCACATAGGACATGATACTTGTGAAAAGGAGAAGGGTGGAAGTTGTGGTGGAAACACAGAGATAGCAAAATTAATTGAGCTTGGTGATTTTTGTTTGTTTGTTTGTTTTGACACAGGATCTCGCTTTGTCAGCCAGGCTAGAGTGCAGTGGCATGAAGAACTTTGTGATTGATTGAAAGAGGAGGGAAGTGTCCACTGGTCCCTACTAGGTTTCTGGCTTGCACTGTGAAATAGGTGGTGGTGCCACTTTGCAGTGTTTCCCAAGTGGGAGGAGTTGGTGGCCACATGGTTTAGTAGGGTGGGGAGGATTACACCAAGACTTGAAGTTGCATTTCCTTGAACTATCTATGGATTACATCAGGTTTTTTTTTTTTAGACAGGGTCTCACACTGTCACCCAAGCCGGAATACAGTAGCGCAATCTCAGCTCACTACAGCCTCCACTACCTCTATTCAAGCTGGGACTACAGGCATGTGCCACCACACCCAGCTAATTTTTGTATTTTTTGTAGAGACATGGTCTAACCACATTGCCCAGGCTGTCTCGAACTCCTGAGCTCAAGCAGTTCACCTGACTCAGCCTCCTAAAGTGCTGAGATTACAGGTGTGAGTTACTGCGCCCAGATGCTTTCTTCTTTCTCAGCTTATCAAAGTAATGTATGTTCCTCACTGTAGAAATTTTGAAAAGGAATTCAGCAGAAACCACCTGCAACCTCAAATTATATCCACCATTAAAATATTGGCATATTTTCCCCAAAATAGTTCTATTTTAAATGGAAACCAAAATATTCCTATGTATCATTTCTTGTTAACTCCAAAAAATGTCCTTTTAATAATTTTATTTGTTTGTTTGTTTGTTTATTTATTTTATTTATTGAGACAGGATCTTGCTCTGTTGCCCAGGCTGAAATGCAATGGCATGATCTTGGCTCACTGCAGCCTCAACCTCCCGGGCTCAAACAATCCTCCTGCCTTAGCCTCCCAAAAAGCTGGTACTACAGGTGTGAGCCACTGCACCTGGCTAATTTTGTTCCTTTTTTTGTAGAGACAGGGTCTCCCTGTGTTGCCCAGACAGGTCTTAAACTCCTGGGCTCAAGTGATCCTCCTGCCCCCGCCTCCCAAGATGCTGGGATTATAGACATGAGCCACCTTGCTCCGCTGTTTTAAGAATTTTTAATTAACTCAACTCTTTATCAAGTTGCATTGAAAAGATAATATGAATTAAATATATGTGAACTGGCCCCAGTACATTTTCACACTGGTAGTGCAATGCAGAAGTGAAGCCTTTTGACTTAACCTTTATAAAAGGTACCTACTGGCCGGCCGGGCGCGGTGGCTCAAGCCTGTAATCCCAGCACTTTGGGAGGCCGAGACGGGCGGATCACGAGGTCAGGAGATCGAGACCATCCTGGCTAACACAGTGAAACCCCGTCTCTACTAAAAAATACAAAAAACTAGCCGGGCGAGGCGGCGGGCGCCTGTAGTCCCAGCTACTCAGGAGGCTGAGGCAGGAGAATGGCGTGAACCCGGGAGGCGGAGCTTGCAGTGAGCT